AAAAATTAATTATTTTCAAAAATATTTTTGATGAAGTAAATAAAAAATAAAAAAATTAATTGTTTTCAAAAATATTTTTGGAATGTAAAACCAAACAGGTTTGTAGTAGTATTTTTTTAAATAATTTTTATATAAAAATATATTAAAATAATATATATATATATATATATATTTCACATTAATATGTTGACATTATAAAAAAAATATTAATTTAATATTTTTTTAAAACAAATATATTTTTTTAAAACATTCAAGAATAGAAACCAACGCTATCTCCTAAACAGGGTAGGAGGAGAAAATAAGATCAATCAAAGTAAAATATACCATAGCATCAAATTTGGGCCTACAAGGTAGAATGTAGCTCTCCATTAACCCATCAAGTCCCTTTTTGTGGGGGCAGAAGGTAAATCTCAATGTGGGTATTAGGGCCCATTATTTGCATGCTATGTGTCCAAAGTGATTATTCACGGTGAGGTATTTGAATGTGTAATAATAATTTAAATATTTTTTATTTAAAAATATATTAAAATAATATTTTTATATTTAAATGTTTTTTTTTACATTAAGATAAGAAAACATAAAAAAATTACTTTTTAAATCAAAAATAATTTTAAAATTTTTTGAAAAACATGTTTTGAACCGTATTTCTAATTAATATATTTAGAGGCTTATTGAATTAATTTTGTAAATGTTCAACCACATTGTTTTTATTATTCAACGGGAGAATAATACCTTTTGAACTTAAACTATTAAGCGCTAAATTATCAATGACCAAATGTTAAGTACACTTGGACATATACTTGAATTAGACGACAAAGGGATCTTACCAATTCAAAATGGGATTATGTTATGCTCCATTCAAATTCTTTGATAGCTCAGTTCTAACAGAAATAAGATCATTTTTCAGAAAAACAAGACAAAATCTACCACTAGGTGGTAGAAGAGTTGCACAAATATATTCACCATCACTAAAGAAAAAATAATTGTTATGTTGATTCCATTATATGCCGTCTCACCATAAAACTGTGGATCGCTGTATTTTTTTTTTTTTGTCAGGTGATGCACAGAAATCAGGACAAGGGAAAGGAAAAATGGCAATTCCAACACGGTCCAAGAAGGTTGTGAATGGAGCTAGTGCAGACTAAAATCCATAGCAATCATGTTTACCCCCTTAATTCTTTCATTAGCTTTTACTGTACAAAGTGCCAAATACTTGTTTCATTAGAATTTTAAGAGAATGTTTGTGCAAAAAATAGAATTATTTGCAATGTGCTTTTAATTAACATTTGGAAATGTGCTTTTTTCTTTTTTATTGTCAGATTTTTATGTTAATTACTATTTTATGACACACATATCTTTGTAACTTGTTCAGGCATCAACCACGCACCAACTACCGATGTTACTTCATTTATGTTGCTATTTATTCTAATTTGCGTTCATGCACGAAAGCTAGGCTTGTAGTGTATTATATATATATATATATATATATATATATATATATATAGAGAGAGAGAGAGAGAGAGAGAGAGGATGTTTCTTTTCTGTTTTTTTTGGACAGTTTAGTGCACAGATTAATATATTTTTTGTTTGTTTAGCCACCAACCATTGATGTAACTTCACTTTGCTGGTACTTTATTCGGTTCATTTTCAGGCTATTCAATACACCTTCAATTAATTTTGAACGAAAGAAAGAGTACACACGGAAGGCAAGTGTCTAATTGACAAGAAAAGAAGAAGAAGAAGAACAGATAAATACAGGGAAAATAAATCTTAAATTAGAATTTTGAACTTCCAAATTAAACATTTAATTCGAATTATTTAAATCCCATCACAAAACAAGGCCTACTGGCCTATTGGCCCAAGTTTCTTCTTTACTCATTTATTTACATATATATATATAAGGAATTTTGGGCACGCACGGATGAAATTGGTGGAGTAAAAACAACATCATCCACGTAAATATCAACCTCTACATGCACAGATTTAATTTGTTGCCAATAGGCACATATATATCGGCCTTTTTTTAGCAACATATCTCTGTGCCAACAAATCTTGATCACATCTAATAAAACCATCATTACAAAGCATTAGTATTCTCCCCCCCCTGTGTGATGAACCTTATCCTCCAATAACTCCTTGATGCTATTTGATCAGCTACATAGCTTCTGCTGATCAACTATCAAGATTAAATACGACACTCTCTATTATCAATTAATTAGTGCATAATTTTACTATGCTAAAGTCACAGTCCAATTGCGAATGAGTGTGCTAGGAGAATTGCAAATTAATGGGGTTAGACGCATGATACCGAACTTATATTAAGTCCTACATGATAGATTAACTTTACCAAATACAAAGACTTGTTTGGTTAACAAATGATATTGTCAATGATCTTAATCAAAGCCTCTTCTGATTAATTTTTTTTTTTTATCTTATTGGTATAAAATTGATGGATCAGAGACTTATTTGTGATCGCTAATGGAAATCAATCGCTAGGTCAATTACCTACACCGAAAAAGTAGTTGTTGGGTCCTTCCATGTTAGCTTGATTAGTTATAGAAAAAAAAATGTACGAACAAAAAATTGGCCCATACAAACGAAATTATTGATGAAGCTTAACATCTGTTTCGAATGTAAATAGAATCAATTAATGATTAGTCATCATCGGATGGTAAAAAACAAGTTAAAGTTCAGTGAACGGAGAATTGTACCTTTGATTTTCCATTTCTCTGTCTAATCTTGTTTAAAGGCTACAAAATATTCTCCAGGAAGCTGCTTCGAAGCAAATGTGTCTTGCCCTAATCAATCGTCATATATGCATCATGTATATGTGTGTGTCTCTCTCTCTTCTTTTCATTTATATAATTAATATTTTGATCATAGGCAAACCATTAGCGACCAAAACCTCATTTTCTAGGACCATGAAAATACCTTTATGAAATGGTCTTTATTATCATGGGAAGCCAAAAGGGATTCCAAATTTCCAATTACTTTTTACAAAAAAACAATCCACGATTCCGTCATGTAAAGCAAGTTGGAGGACAGGAGAGCAGGCTTTCCGACCATTTTGTGTATCTGGCATGCAAACTTTCACTATTTAGTGAAACCTGTTCAAGTCTTCGTAATTTTGGTCTCTTTGATTATTATGTGATGCACGAGAGAGGACCACCTAATAAACCCAGAACCAAAAAAAAAAAAAAAGTGAAAAAAGTATCATGAAAATTCAGGTTATTTGATTCTCCCCGTCGTGCTAGTCGTCCTTGATAAATTTCGTGTTGACTTTTTACTAAGTTTAAATTAAGAAAAGAAAAGGCAACAAATATGGTGCTAACTCATGCCTTTCGGGTTCATTTTTCCAAAATTGCCCCACGTTCTTTGGATGAGAAACAGCTATCATTACAAAAAAAAATTACCCTTTGAGGATTAATAGGTATAATACGAGTTGAAAACCTAGTTGATTTCTATGATTAAAATAAAGAAAAGATAAGGATCAATAATGACATTTTAAAAAATTGTATAAAGATTCTTTTTCGTTGATCAAATAATCATCGGCGACAACCCTTTCCTCCTTCCTCATCTTTTTTTTCTTCATTATCTTCCGTTGTTTTCTTAATAATTCTATACCAATTTATTAGAAATGGTGCTTAAAACTCCCAATATCTTCATACATTTAAGATCTTAAATTAGATTTATCCATCACATATATTTTCTTTTTTAAAATACATTTTCTTCATTAATATTAAAACCCAGCATTGAATGACAGGTGGAAAATAGATAGATTGTGCAAAAGAAGATTAAGCAAACAAAGCAAGATGTTAGTGAAAATTGATAGAGGGACTATGCCTCTCAATTTCTTGGATTTCATGATCACAAATAAACCACTGTATATGCTGATTACTATGGAAATATAGCAGTGTATGACATAACATGTGCCTCTATAATTTATTGTTCTTTTAGGTGTACCTAAATTGGTCAAACTATCAGTAATCTATACAAAAATGTCTTTTCGAAATAGGTATCTTGAGAGGTTCCTAATAAATGAACGATAAATATAGATTGATGGCATTGTCAGAGAATGATGGACAGTCCCCATGTATTCATCCAAAAGCTGTTAGAGATAAGGGAAATCATTAGGCTTAGCTCATCTTGCTTTGAAATTCAAATATTGAATATTGGAGCATTACAGCACTTAAGAATTTATAGAAATTACGCATATAAGTGATTGATATTTTTTCAACACCATGGTTATATTAATTATCGAGTTCGTGGAATACCCAAAGAACGTACTATATATCACTTCGATCCTTTCATATTTTAAATAGGTCCCAAAATGGATCATAAATTAAACCTTTTGTTCTTTTCTTGTATCGCTATATAATTCAAAAATCACCATTCAACAATTAATTAGAAAACCTAAAATAAGGCATTAAATAATTTCCAAAAAATAAATAAATAGATCAGGAAAGTATATATTTATATCTACAAAAAACATCGACTTAGAAGTCTTATGTCTAGGACAAGACTAAGGCGCTACTCTTTGCTCCCTATTGTTAATGATTTAATTTCGAGTGGTAAGGTAACTCATCTTTCTCTCTTTGTTATCTTACCTCGGCTGTAACATAAAGGTAACCTACTTTCTCTCTTTGTTATCTTAACTCGGCTGTAGCATAAAGATAACTCATCTTTCTCTCTTTGTTATCATATTTATTGTACGTAGATTAGGTTTTGAGACCCCATGACCTCACTATTCTTCGACAAAACAATAACCAATCGATCAATTTTGGATTGTTGGCATCTTTACAATATCACCATGCCATGTGGGTAATATCATTTGTGTGAGTATGTGCCGACTCCAATACCACATTAAAGTCAGCTTTGTGCTATAATTGGCTTGTCAAGCTTTTTCAATATGGTTAACGAATTTAGGTAAGACCTCAATCACCTTTGGATATGAATGCAAGTAGGAAGAGCAAATCACTCAGAAAGTTAAAAAGAAACTGTAGATGTAATATTCTTAGATAACAATTTTTGAATAGAATGATGACATATATTGTTATTTAGAATATTTACAAAATGGTGTGAATTGACCATGCCATCCCATCGCAAATATTTCTAAAAACTATATATCACCCAAATTTAAGCTTATTTATGCAATACATGCATGCACTAGATACATAAAAACTACTAAATAACGTATACGTACCTAGACTCTTAGGGTTTCTATATTACTCTATAGGGTATACAATATTGAGCACTTTTGTTATACCGATAAGTGGCATAATGGGTCCGATGATGATGATGGAGACGAAGATTTAGCGAAGCCCCAGAGGTCATTCTCGTTGGTATACACATGAGAAGTATTTGCTTGAATGTTTGATGATGATCTATGAGAATTTTGCAAGTGTGATAATTGCATGTCATCATCAGGGGAAAGACCAAAACTCGCATTTAGGCCGTTGCATGTCATCATCAGGAGAAAGACCAAAACTCGCATTTAGGCCTGTAGTAAAGCAAGATAAATGCTTGGATGTCTCTGCTTCATGTCCATTAAGTTGTGATGCCACTAGACGATCAAGAGTTACCCAATCGTTAAGTTGCCCGGATTTGGAGCCATGAATTACGGATGATGAGATCATGTCGAAAGTGCCATTGCCAATTTGGTTTGAAGAGGAAGGTTCATTCTCTGTCAGCATCTCATCGTACGATTGGTGATAGCAAGATTTGAAACTTCGATCTTGATCAAAAGATGGACTGCTTAGTGGAATAGAAGGGAGTGGTGGGCTGTCTAGCCGAGGAAGGTGCATGAATCTTTCATGGAGCCCATCACTGATGCTATTGTCTGAGAGAAACCTTAAATTACTGTTGTTGTTGGAGATATTCATGTTGCTAAATGTTTCATTCTCCATCTTGCAAGTCCTTCCCATATAGAGAAGTATTTGATCAAGAACTCCATCATTTCCTGAACCAAGAATCTGATGAGCCTTTGAATCCAATGAGCTTGATGAGCTTTTGGGACTCTCAAGGGCTTTTTGATAGTTCTTCTTTCTAAATACCCGGCAAACCACCCACCCTTCTTCAGGGATTGCCTCTCCTATAGGATTTGAGACCTGCAGGATTAAGAGAGTGAACAAATCAATACCATATAAGCTAGAAGCCTAGAACCGAACATGGAAGAAATCTATACCAATAGTTTCCTTCAAGTCAAAATACATGGAATATTGTATGAGATCTCAAATTCGAATCCTGTTTAACAAACAGTATAATTTTCATTTTTGTTTAATTTTCATCTTTGAAATCAACTTCACTTTTAATTATAAAGAATGGTCCAGTTTTTTTTTTCATAGGAAAAACAAGAATAAAAAAACAGAGACAAGACAAGAAAAGGTAAGAGTATAGGATATTCAAGCATATAAAATAAAATTAAAAGTGTAGGGAAGATACGGCTTACATTAGTGTCGTTGGTGCTGTCATCAAGCCTATATTCATGCATGATCCAATCGGATTTCTGTCCATGTGGAGCTCTTCCTCTGTAAAACACAAGAGTCTTTCTCAATCCAATTCTTTTAAACCCACTATAGATGATCTTATCACGGCCAGTGGCTTTCCAAAACCCAGCAGCCGTAGCTCGATTTGTTCTAGTCCCTGTGGGATATTTCTTGTCTTTGTGACTAAAGAAATACCAATCATTCTGTGGTGTAGATCCTATTTTGCACTTCTCTACAGCCCCAACAAAGGATAATTTCCTTAGTCAACATGTTTGGAAAATAGAGAGAAGTTATGTAGAGAAAGATATAAATGGAGATCACACTAGCTTAATTATTACCTTGGATGTCCCATGGCTCAAGCTTATTAAGATCAACCTCGCGAATTACATCAAGGTCTATCTTCTCATTAGCAACTTTCTTCCTGAGGTAGTAGTGAAGAAGCTCTTCTTCTGTTGGGTGAAATCTAAAGCCTGGAGGGACCTGAGACTGACCATTTATTGATAGATTCATCATATCCTCAGGCATTATAGGTAGTGAGGCTTGAAAATATATGATCAATGTACATGTAAGAGAAAAGTTGAGTGGCTAGAGATCAATATGAAAGAGAAACGGAAATGAGAGACAACATGTACAAAGTTTGTTGAGGAGAGAGGGTGCGTAAAGGGTAATGCAGTCACGATAATTTATAATGGTTTGTAGGGCATGCGAGGGAAGGGTCCAAAAATGCATGAAAAGTTTTGGAATCAATGCTATTAATGTACTTAGTGTGGGTTCTAAGCCTTGGAGAAGAGCTAACCTAGAAGCTGATACTAAAGAGAGAAAGAGGGTGTGGTTTTATAGGCCCACAATATAGGTACTAACAACTGGGTCCATCAAAGAAAAAATAAAATAAATTCAGACTGCGTTAGAGGTAACTATTTGTATTTGTGTGAGCAGGAGGAAAGCCCCATCTCAACTACGACCCATTACCTTAATATCTATTTGAAAGGCACCTCTAAAACCTCTACTATCCTAAAAAATTCTCTTTTTTTTTTCCCTCACTCTAAACATCACTCGTTTTACTTGTGCAACCACCTCAACGACAAGAAGCCAAGTGAGAGATGATGGGGTCGGGAGGCACTTAGCTTTCATGCATGGTCCCTGAAGGAAGAAAGACATGATGTGCTCTGTGGAGACTCAGCAACTTAATTTCCATATTTCTTTCTTCCTCACCTTTCTCTTTTTTATTCACATTTTATCATTGCAGTCACCAACTATGTACATCATGGCAGTAGCACAAGAATAAGATGAGAGTGATCACTTCTCGTGGGGAGGGGGGAGGGGAGTAAACATTAATACAGTGTCTTAAAAAATTCATGAAGGAGTGCAAATACTGCTATATATTTCAAGAATTTTGGTATAATTTACGACCACGTGCCTTGAAAACCTTAAGAACGGCTACTAGAGTCCAAGTGGAGTCCTACATAATTGTCATGTACCTACGAAATCGTAAGGGAGGACTCTCTCGTAGACGTGCATTTTCCTTTCTTGAACTTATTATATTTTCCCTTTCCATGATTTTACATGACAACTGCTGAATCTTTCTTTCAAAAAAGAAAACACTTCCCTCTAGAGTCAAAATGGCAACCACTAAGAAATCAGTGGTGAGAAAGGCATCTAATAATGCGTTCCCATTTTGTTTCTTCTCATTCTTTGTCTTTTATGGAATGGGAGATAGAAATTGTCTATCCCAACTCATGTAGTAGTATTCTTTAAGTTCCTTTTTTGACGTAGCGGTAGAATTATTGTTTTATTATTTTTAATTTTTTAATTTTATATTATTTTTGTGTTTTTAGATATTTTAAAATACTAATATTAAAAATAATTTTTTAAAAAAATTATTTTAATATATTACCAAATAAAAAATATTTTAAAATATAATATATATCGTTATCTCAAATAGATTCTAAATTATCCCATCTAGCACAACCCTTTTACATTATACTTGTGATTTTAGCTTAAACCCAACTAAAATGAAAAAAATCTACTATATATTGATTAATGCTTATACATTAATTTATTGTTTTCATTAGTGAATTTAGGATTAAAAACATCATGTAGGGAAGATATATATAACATTGTTTAGTTGGTACACTACTAAAGAATTAGGAAAAAAGAAATGAGAAAACTAACGAAAAATATTTTTTCATGGTTTAAAGTTTGAAAATACAACGCTAAAATAACAGACGGATATTTCATTTGTGATTTTAAAAGAAAAACATGAGCAACTCAATTTCAAACCCAATCTCTCTCTTTCAGTTTTTCCTTCTTCTTTACTCTTTTTCTCTCCAACAAAACCGAGCAAGCCTTTCCAAACCATCAATTTCAAAATTAGTTAAACTTGTGCTTTATGTGCTAGGTTTTGTGCAATTCCTCGATTTCTCACTCAGATGTTGCAAATTTAACTTTAGTTTCTCATTTTCTTTCCTCTCATTTCATCATTATTTTTCAAACCCTAGTTTTGTTTGGATGTTAACAATTAGGAAAAATCTTAAAGTTAAAAAAATCCATTAATTTTAAGGTATTTTTATATGGGGATTTTAATGATTGATTAACTTGACATTTTTTAATTAGTTGGGTTCATCGTTTTTATCTTAAGATGGTAATTTGGATCTTAAGAAATTCAAAAGGTTGATAGTTTCACTTCTAATTTATTTTATTTTGTTGTATCTTCAATGATGTCTTTATTGTAGTTTCTTAGCTTAGATGCTTGCTTTAGTTTGCTTAATTCAATTTATTATTACTATTTTTTTAATAAAATTTGTAAACCCTCGGTCAAAAATAGATAAATATAGATTAAATAGGGTAACTATTAATTAAAAAATAATAAATTAGAAAGAAAATTTTATGAATCAGAATGACTATTTTCAAGAGAATAATTTGAAATTAGAGAAGATAAAATAATAAAATAGCATGTAAAATATTAAGTAACAATAAATCATGAAAATTTCTTGACCATGTAAAAATAATGATTTAAAGTTGGCAATCAAATGAGCTTACCAAATTTATTGGCATTTAAAAGGAGATAACTAGATTGATTGGCATCCATGAGGGGATGATTAGATTTGTTGGTAACTAAATGGGTTTGCTAAACTTGTTGGCATTCGTGAAGGGATGACTAGTGTCACACGTCCTTGCGCAGCGTCGTTTGGTGATTTTCATCTTTTGCTTGATTTGAGGTTTTGAGAGTTACTATCTAGTATTTGATTGAGGGCTACTAGAAAATCAGGATTTACTGGTCAAGGTCAGAGATTTGAAGGTAAGGGATTAGTTATGGCTATGAAAGATATTAGCACTCCTAATACACCCTACCTGAGGTAAGCTGCTTTACAATTTGATGTGATTTAAAAATTTGAAATATTAGTCAAATTCTTAGGGTGGTCAACTTTTCAAAGAGTATTGAGAGGTGTTGATGTCATTTTGATCAGGGATTTTGCAAATTTGGCCAATGTTCTTCCTGTTTGACAATCTTGTTCTAGAATCAACTCTCATATTTCAAAAATCATGTCTATTCAAAGTTTAGTTGTTGAAACAAAATAAGAGATATGTCTATTTTGGAAAAGATTTTTTTAAAATTCAAGCTTCTTTGGTCAAAGACCCAACACACACTATTCAATATAGTCCTTTGATTGTCTTATATTTTGAAAACATAAATGACCCGTTGTAAGATTGAAATGACTTTTTCCATGGTTCTTTGTGTTTATTTTAATCTTTTGATCTTGGGTGTATCATTTGATGGTATATGATAAGGTGACCTTCTGTGAATTTTAAGTAAAACAAAAGGCTCAAGTCAAAACTTAAGGATTTATCAAGAAAGATTGTTTTCTTTTTTAGCACCAATTTTATCAGCATGCATAATAATCAGTAGCTTGATTTATGAAGTCACGACCTTTACTGAAAAACACTTTAAGTTTTGAGAGCGCTATTTATCGGTTCAGATTGCTTATTTGATTAAAAAGGACTTCTTACAGCACGTAATGCAGGCTATGATTCATGGTTATGAAAGAAAAGAATTTCTCAAGCTTAAGATGTTTGAGGGTTTTAAAGACCTAGGATCAATATCAATTATTCATCAACTCTCTTTCTCTTGTTATTATTGTAGAGAAAGTGACATATAACCTTATTAATATCAAATATCAGAATTGTCTTAACATAAATCATAATATAAATCCAACATTTTCTTTAATGAATAACCAATCTAATTTTTTTAAAGACACTAAAGGTCTTATCATAGACACACCAAAAGACATGAAGCTCGAATAACCAATCTAATTTTTTTAAAGACACTAAAGGTCTTATCATAGACACACCAAAAGACATGAAGCTCGATTTTTTTTACTTTTGGCATTTTTTGTGTCTTTCTTCAATTAAAACCTCTTTTTCCGTTCTTAGAATTGATAGGAATTCTCCTTTTATTCAATTTTTTTTTTGCATAGCCTTTCCTCAAAGTTTTCTTAGATGCCCTTCAATCTTCGGCTTTTCTTCTTCTAGCCCTATCTCAATCATTGGATTTTTGTTCTAAACCTTTCTTTTATCCATTAATTCTATTAGTGTCTTCAAAATATCTAACATTTTCCCCCAATGTGGGGTGTGATCCTGGTTAGGGTTTCTTTTGAAAGAAAATCATTCTGGCTTAAATTGGGACCACAATGGATATAACCTTTAGAAAGTGAAGGGATAACTACACTATTATCTCTTTTATAAGTTTGACCATCTCTTTGTCCTTCAGTTTCGCTCAATATATCAATACATAATTATGGGGCTTTTCTTGCAAGAAAACAAAATTTTTTGTTCTAATGTTTAAGGTTAACTTCCTTGGGTTGGGATTATTATTTTATATATTTTTTCTTTTTAAAAAAAAAATATATATACATGTAATTTTAAAACACCATGCATCTTTAACCCATGTAACGAGCGTTCGGCTAATGACTCCGAGACTAGTTGGTCTTAGGGTATTGAGTGTTGAGACACCCCTACAAGCTTAGTAACTCAGGTTACCGATATTGAAACGTAGATAGTACAATGTTTGATTTTCATAAGCTTTTCTCCTTAACCCATGTAATAGGTGATTAGTACTTTAAAGTGCATTTTTATCAAGGTTTTATATCATCATTTTGCACTTCAAGTATCAATAACTCCTTAACTAAAGCATGTTTTATAATAATATATCTAATAATATAAGATACCTTTAATTTGTGGTAAATGCTCATTTTAAATGCAAGCCTATCACATAAATGAAAGGATTGATTGATGAATTTAAGAACTGAAATTGAAAGGACAAAGAGATGGCCAAACTTAGAAAAGAGATGTCAGTGCAATCCAAACCAGAACACTGTTCAGTAATTGGGTCATATCTGGAGCTATAGATCTCAGTTTTAGGTCTAATTTATATGGATGGAAAGGTAAGATATAGGCCTACAACTTTCATATGGAGCCCAAGATCTAAAAAAGCCATTTTCAAGTCCAAATTGTTGCAACAACAAAGAAGCCCGAATCTGTCCTCTAGCCCGAGCACTGTTCAGTATTTTGACCATATCTGGAGTTTTATAAGTCAAAATATGATACTAACATGTTTTGTATTTGTTATCAATCAATCAATTATTCACAATCAATTCTTTGTCCATCTCTTTTCTAAGTTTGGCCATCTCTTTGTCCTTTCAATTTCAGTTCTTAAATTCATCAATCAATTCTTTCATTTATGTGATAGGCCTGTATTTAAAATGAACATTTACCACAAACTAAAGGTATCTTATATTATTAGATATG